GTCTTTTTTTTTTTTTCTTCTTCTTCTTCCTTGCTGGTGGGTTTGTTCGTGGCCTTTCATCTTTACACCCTCTCTTTCTTTTTTTTTTCTTTTTTTCTTTGTTTGGGAATGAGGGCTCATTTGATTTTCTCTTCCGTATTTGACGGCCTCCTCCCCGCACTTCTTCTCCCCCTTCCCCCCCTCCCGCCTTTTTTTTCTTTCTTTTTTGTAGTTGTTTGCATGTTTGTTTGTTTGTTTGTTTGTTTGTTTGTGCATCTTTATTGTGATGGTATGTTTTATTTTTCTTTGTATATACATATGTATGTGTGTGGTGCTGAGCCCATGTACTTTCTTTCTTTTTTTTTTTTCCTTTTTTCTGTTGTGTGCTTGTCAGGGTGAATTATTGCGCTGCAAGGCGACAGAGAGAGGAGAGAGGAGAGTTAACATCTTGTGATTCAACATGCCACGGCCTTTTGGAGTTTGGGCGCCCGCCACGACCCTTGCGGAGTACCGGGCGCGTGTGCCGAATCTCTCGGCATTTTCATTGAAGTGGATATACTCGGCAAAGCGGGAGGTGTACTACCATCCCGAGGCACTTGCACATTTCAAGGATCACCAGCAGTACAAAGACGCCGTGGATACCGTCAGGGCAATGAGTGTTTCAGACAAGTTCTTTGGTGAGGGACAGAAGCTTCCGCGTCGTCCAGTGATTAAATTGATGGGGGCATTACTTGTTGAGGGCTTGTTGGTTTACGCTGTTATTCGATACTACTACGGTGTCTACGTGCCTGCCAACAACCCAACATGGCGTAAGGTGGTGAATAAGGAGTGGGAGGAGGCAATTAACACATCACCGTGGGATCACATGTCACATGTCTGGCAGTACAGTGATCAATATGCAGCTGTGATGGGTGACACCGCCTCGCCAGGACCGCGGAAGTTTTATATCCCGGCCTAATCATCGTCAGGACATGTCGTTTTTCTTTTGTATCCTCCCACCCTCTTTGTCTGTGTGTAGTAACCGTATATATATATATATTTAGTTAGCTTCTCTGTGTTGTTTCTAAGGGGTTTTTATTATGTTGTGTGTATCATTGGTCGGGGGTTTTTTATCAATGCCAGGCGGTGTGGAAGCAGGCCGATCAGGGGATGGGAGGGATGCGAAAAAAGGAAAGAGAAAAAAGGAAAAAAGAGGAAAAAAAAAAAAAAAGACAACAAAAATACATAATTGGATGATAGTAGCAGTAGATTGTGCCGAAGGAAAGAGGGGGAGGCACATCATTTAGGGTGTCATTTACGTTGAGGTACTTGTTTTTTTTTTTTTTTTTAGGAGCTTGTGAAAAGAACGATCGCGGGAGAGCTGGCTAACTTAATTAATGTGTGTGTATATCCTGATAAATGAATGCATTCTTTATGATACTTTCTACCGTATGAATCTTTTGGGAAGAACGCGACTTTGTAGGGGCAGGGAGCCGATAGAGGCCAGATAATATTTGTTTTTATTTTTTACAGACACACAGCCAGGTAAGTTTAAGGAAATGGCTTTGGTTCCCTACACACCCTCCGAGTGGTGTGATATTGGCGCCCGTCTCTGGGAAATGGTGTGCCAATGTGGCGAGATCCAGTTACAGTTGACGTTCATTAATGGTAACCAGATGTCGGATGAGACGTTAACTGTGGCCGCATCTTCGACAGGCTTATGCCTGTTCCATGGACCCATCTCTAAAGCTTGGCAGGATTCCACTCTTATTGGACATATTGCGAATCTCCGGGCGCCTCAGATCCCTGATTTTGAGACACAGGTGCTCCTGCCCGCTATGGGAGGCATCCCGGGAGTTTGGGCACCAACAAGGGCTCATCACTGCTGAAAGGAAGCGCCTGAATATTGATTACGCAAACGCCGTCGCGGACGTGCAGAACCGGAATGCTCAGCTTAACTCGCGGGCTGAGGAGGCGCATCACAACCTATTGGTAAGGGAATCCAATATCGCCGAGACCGGCAACCAGGTCCTAGAACTACGACAGCAGTTGGAGGCCGGTCGCGCCCAATTACGGGAGCGCGAATTCAACTTGGGAGTCCTCACTGGTCAACTCCAGGAACGGGAGGCACGCCTTAACGCACTACAAACCGCGCGGGATGCGGAGACGGCGGGGCGGGACGAGTCCCCCGCTATTCAACACGTTGCCAACGATGGCGTAACTACAATACCGCATCAAACGAATAACTTGATGGCTGGAGGCGTGCCTAGCAGTGCGACCCGACACAGTTCGGCGGCTTACAGACCCCCTCACGGCAATTTTGAGAGACCACATTTCCACCCTTCCACGCCGTTGCCTTCCCGCACTTCTCCCCTGGACGCCCAATTACCCATGGAAGAGGACCGCAGTTTCTGCGCATTCGACGTCACTACGTGGCCCTCGCGTATATGGAATGAGGGCGCCTCCGGAGTTGTTTTCGACCTCCGGTGCGCATACCAATGCTGGCAACAGGACGACGAGCAGGTTAAACTTGCCTTTGACAATTTGGTCGAGTGGATCGGCGTGCTGGAAGGCCTGCAGGATCCCACCGATCGCTTCATGAATTTGGGCAGGTCCCTACTGAATACATTCCGGATGCAGCTCACGATTGCATCCGATCCCGGCATCCGGCTTTCCAAACTGCGCGCCTGTCTTTACACCGCTGTTCACCAGACGAAGCAGGCGCGCCCCTTGACAAAGGAAGAGATGAATCAAGTTATCCGCAGCCGGACCGATTGGAAGGAACGTGTTGTTTTTCGACTCGCGTGGATAACGGCGAGTCGTTGGTCCGAGATTGCGGCCTTGACTCCCAAAAATTTCACAATGGAGGCGGACGGAACCTTAACTTTGGATTGGTCCGTCGCGCCGAAGACGGCGGGAGCGGATCCCCACCGTGCCTTGCGGTTCGTGAGGATACGAGGGCAGGACGCCTTCGACACTATAAAGCTATGCAGGACACTTCAAGAAAACGAAAAGCTCACGAATCTGACGACTGCCCAAGTCGAACGAGCTCTGGCTCCTTGGGATGCCACGGCGCATTCCATAAAACGGGGTGCGCTGCGGCACGCTGCTCAAATCGTGGAGAAGTACAATTCGGACCCACACGTGATCTCGCAGTTGGCGAAGCACGTCAATCCGTTCGACCTTCCCCAGAATACTGTTCGATATTTGTGGAGGTACACCACAGTGCTGACCCAGTTGCCGTCACTGGTCGCATTGATGTGAAGGGAGAAACTGCGGAAGGGCAAGAACCCTGGTTGAGAGCAGAGGAGCGTTTTTTCTATGATTTTAATCACAATCATGCTGCTACAATAACGAGACGCGTGGCAAGGACGCGTTTGGCCACTCCACAAGATGAACACGCTATCCCGTTACAGCGAGTCAACGTGCCCGTATTGAACCTAGAGTGGATTAAAACTCGGTTGAACCCGGCCACCTTGGAGAGGCTCATGCAAGTTTGGGGACTCGTCGGGCGGTCCCCTTTCCCTCCGTCTTCCTCCGGTAAAGCGCGCGAAGGCTCACGGAGAATTCCAACCGCTGACGCGAGATTGTTACGAAAAGCAGGAATAATCGAGGACGCTTCGTCCACAATAACAGGCGGATGGATAATACCCTTTTCGGTTGTGGAGGAGAAAACCACCGGTTTACGGCGACGATGGATCGCGTGGCCGCGCGACAAGAACAGAGACGACCCTTACGAGGCTAATGCACCTCTTTTACATATTTCCCATTATTTGCCGCCTGTGATGGCTGAGGCCGCTTCCTGCCTGGATGTAAAGTCGTCCTTCATAGTCTCTTTACCGCGGGAGACTCGGCATCTCTTTCGATGCCGCGCGGAGGACGGCACGCTGGTGGAGCTGACACGGCTCCCAGTGGGATACAAGGCCGGCCCAGAAATTCTCCAGATTATTACCTCGGCAATTGCGGTGGTGACGACGGTGGCTCACTCCTCTGGGCTGCACTTCCATCGGTGCGTGTCGACGTGTGGATCGATAATATACGCATTGCAGGGTCGAAAAGCGACGCGACATTGTGGGAAGCCCAAGTGCTTCGTAATGCGGACAGTTGTCACGCATCCATGGGGGAGGGACGCGAATCGGGCGCTACGCAGTACACCTTCCTGGGGGCGCGGTTTGATCACACTCACCGGGCGGTATCCCTGAGTGAGAAGTTTGTCCGGTCTGTATGCGCCGTGCCGTCACTCAATTCTTCAACCATCGCGGAAATGGAGGTTGTGGCGTCACGCTTTTTGTACGCGGCTTCCATTTTAGGCACGCGTTTATGTGACTACTACTTTTTCATGGCAGGGCGACGACGATTGTCCGCACTTTACCGGGGATTGTGCGGGAGACATCCCCGGTGAACCTTCTGCCGTCAGCGGTTGGCTTGGACGAGAGATTGCGACACAGCATCGAGAATACAATCGTAAGCGAATCATCAATTCCACGAAAAAGGCATCGGCCGCCATCATCACGGATGCATCGCTCCATGGATGGGGAGCCGTTTTTATTCCAGACTTTGTTTACGCTAAAACTGTCTGGAGGAGAGTGGGAGAGGAAGCCTTTTTTTATTATGCAGGCCGAGGCACGCGGTACGCTTGGCCTTATCGGCCTTTTCCGCCATCTTGCCATCCCCCATGGACGTTTGGGTGGACAGCACTTTGCTGCGGGGAGCGGCGAATAAAGGCAGCTCAAAACCACACACCACGACGCGGGAGCTGCAACGGATATGTTTGTTTTTGGACTCTCGCGGAGTGCAGGCATCCTTTGCATACGTGCGGTCTGCGGAAAACCCCCGCAGACGGCATATCACGCGGTTGTGTTTTTGCACTTCAGGACTTGGCGAGGGGGTGGAACTTGCGAAGGACAGCGGCGGGGTCTTGTGACTGGGGGAAACCAAAGTCTACCACTTCGTAAGAAATATATATATATTCAATGCGAGTAGAGTGAGCGGGCCACAATTGTGGCCAATTGATGATGTATATATACATTCATTTACTTGGTGTAGAGTTTGAGGATGTGGTGAACCCACTCTTATTCCATTTACTTCTCATTTCGGCCTTGTTTGTTTTCTATGATTGATAACCTCAGGATGAGGAAAGCGGCCCAGGTGAATATTTATTTTGTGTCACCGTGTGAAGCACCGCATTCCATTGAAGGCGGGATGGCAGTGTAATTTTTGGTGCCGCGTGACTGGTGGATGGGTGAGGGTCCACTTCAACGTGTGACTGGCGTGGTGGGTGCTCGCCCCGGGTGCGTTGTGTGTTGGCTGCGGGGATGTGGCCGTATCCCGTTGGCCGTGAGAATTTTCTGGAGGCGGTGGGTCTCTTCTCGTCGTCCATGGCGGGTGGCTGCTGCCGGTGCGCACTGGTTTCCCGTGCAACTTGCTGTGTTTCTCCTCCATGACTTTTTCCATTTCCTTCACACACAAAAAAAGGAAGTAAAACAAGCGCGAATCGCTACTGTGCACTTTGAGGGCTCTGAAAGGAACAACAACAGTACACACACACACCGCACACACACGTATTTATATACTCTCAAGCGTTGCTGCTGTGGAGGCACCCCGAACACACAACCGTACTCGCGTGACCGGATCCAGCGGAAGGAGGAGGGAAGGAAGAGAGGGTGAGCAGCAGAGGCCCAACATGTCCCGGCACCTCTTCTACTCTGCGGTGCTGCTTCTCCTCGTCGTGTTATGCGGCAGTGGGGCTGCACACGCTGTGCAGACGAAGACTGACGTTGATCCATTCACAGGGATCGGATTGACATCCTCTCAATGGGAAGCCCCTACAAAAGTTAATGAAACATTATTCTCGCTCCGCGTTCCCAGCCTTGTTGAGGTGAACAATAACGTGTTCCTCGTTGCTGAAGCGCTGTGCAAGGAAAAAGGAGAAAGCTGCAGCCGTACTGGGATTGCGTCAAGGCACCTCGATCTAACTGA